TATATATATATATATATATATATATATATATATATATATATATATATATATATATATATATATATATATATATATATATATATATATATATATACATATATATATATATACCAAGAGAATTGAAATGGAAAGTAAAGCCGAAATCTCAAAGTATTTTTCATCAAAAGCTATCTGACTTCGTTGATCGATTTTATGGAATTGTTCCCTGTATCTCCCAGGCATGTTTAGGATCTCATTGAACCGAATGGATATGTGGCAATGAATGATGAAGCACATATAGAACAACTAAAGAATTACAAATACCATCGTATTAGAACAGTTGCTTCGGCGTATCATACATTGGCAAGAGATCGTTACAATAGACAACGTAGGGGAGAGTTAAATACAAATACTATGGAAGTTGATGTAAACATGAAAACGCCCACTCGTCATGTGCTACCGAGGGTTAGTTATTTCGGTGAAATTGCTTGCAGAATGAAGCAGAAAGCAGAATGAAACTGCTTTTTTGATAATAGTGCTATATTATGGAATTGATTAATACTAAATGTAATTTTTTGCAGCGCTTATTCATCAGTTCACCCGAATCTCCATCACAGTTTCCAAGTACTCCCAAGAGCCGTCCTGTACGAGACAGAGGAGGAGATGCACCAAGAAGGAGTACTTGTCGACGACTGTTTAGCGATGATGATTTTAAAGGAAATGATCCGACTTCTAGTCCTAGTACTAGAGGTACTTCTTGAGAAAGGACAGAATGTCGTTTGCTTCTTTTCCTTATTCGATCGATTTCGACAATTCTGTATAGTACTTGTACCGTTTTAATTTTGTGTTTGTATATGTGTGTGTGCGCCTGTCTGTTGTAAGTTTTATTGTTTTACTTGCTGAATTATCCACCAAATATTAAGGCTTTTTGTTTGAATTTTAAATCATTTTCATGTAGGAGTTATTTCCTACAAATTTCATAAAAGTTACATATTATTTACTTGTAATTTTCAATTTTTACTGTTTATTCTTCCAAGTCCATTTTTTCACTATTATTATTTTTATTATATCGGTATTTGATTTTAAGAAATTTTCTTACGAAGTATTAAGGCTCGTATAAAAGTTATTTCACACAAATTTTAATGAAATTTCATTTTATTAGTCTTCTCGTAGTTTTGACTTTTTGCGACTTGTCATTCATACTTTTTTCAGCATTACCATCATCTACTTTCTAGTTCTGATTTCGATCTCCATTTACTTCATTTTTTGTTGAGATAATTAGTACTCCAATTCTGTTGAAATTTTGTTAATCATTTATCGATTTCCGTATCACTTGTGTATGATCAAGTTGACCGATCTCGTATTGATATATTGCTTGTTTGGAATGATGTTTTAAATCATTTACTTTGTTACTCATTCAACCCATAACAGTAAGATTCTGTACTCATTCGAGCAGCATGGTAGCGCTTTGCGTTTAATTTCATGCTCAATGAAAATGTTTTGATTTTTATTGGTTTGACAGCCTATCTTATTCGTTAGCTTGTGTTCTAACTCCAGGATTTCATCTTTGATTTATTAGCATTTGTCACTTCTCAAGTCATCTTTTTGTGGTATGGATTTCAGAATAATGTCAGATTTCTTCGGTAGCTATTTTTGTTTGAGCTTATTGCGTCGTGTGGCGTTTTCCCCTTCTTTCTCTTCTTTTTTGCTTTCTAAAAAGTCCCTGTTTATACTGATGAATAAAATCGCTATCCTAAAATGCTATATTTTAATTGTCAGAAGTGCGAAAAAATATTTTTTCACTTATACTACATGCCATAAATGGAATATTCGTTACTTTAGCGGTGAAAATACTTTTTCCTACTGTTTTCGGTGAATTTTCACCATTCATAATCAATTTTTCTGGAATTGCCATGCATCGCTTGCTACTGCAGTGATATCTGTAAAAATTGCATGAGCTCTCATATGAGAAAAAATACCCGGATGGGTTGCTGTAAATCTTGCCTAATCCATCTTTTTACAGATGAATTCGTATGGATAGGTGCCGGGAGTTGGATTTATCGTTTTAAGGTGTAGATTAGTGGTTGTATTGTGGCAGTGGTCAGATAATATGTAATGATAAATGGGTCATGTCGAACTATCTCTTTAGTCTGTTTAATCTGAAAACTTTTTCTTTTGTTTCAACGCCACAAATGTTGTTTGGGTAATGCCATCTAATCAGCCAGACTGCCTTACTTCATTAGTTTCCTACGTTCCTCAGTTAAATTTTGGCTTCAATTTACCCTCAACAGCAGCTGTAAATCAATTGGGAATTCCTGCTGCAAACCAGGTAGTTTTATCTACCTTCCTTCACTTTTAAATTCCTCTGCTTGAATTTTTTGTTAGAATGTCTTTTCAATTGCTCATAAAGTTCTTATTTACAGGAGCAGCAATCAATCCCAACCCCTGCTGAATCATTAACATTTTTGGAAACTGTTAGCACACGAGTTAACTGTAACTGCAAGTAAGTATTCTATGGTTTATATTGTTTTCTTGAATTATAGGATTCCCATTTGTTCCTTATTACTGGTTTCATTGTGAACTAACTACCCTGCTGATTTCGGTTGATAAAAGAACTTGTCCCTCAATTCAAGTTTAACCATGTTTATTCGCCTGTTTGTATCCATCGTAACCGTAACAGATATAGTAGATTGGCGCAATTTCCATTTGATTCATTTTCCTTTTTTTTTTTCCTTTTATGGAGCCTCTTCTTGATTAAAATAGTTCCTCAATAGGTAATCCCTTGAGGGAATCCATCCAGAAAATTTTAATTTCAACTCGTGCAACCTTTAAATACATTCACTCGTCTGCTAGAAAATTTGGATCCCGTAATGCCTGTTGTTTCATTTTAGGTGCATTCCTCAATTACAAACTTCTTCACAACCCCTTCGTTCTGCCTTGAAGAAGACATTTAACACTAAACCGGGGAACAAAGTTGATGAGGAATGTAAAAATACTGAGAAAGGTTGCGAAGAAAAGCGAATTTTGGTTTCTAAGCGCCCTACTGAGATAATAGCAAAAGCAGAAAAACATCAGCAACTTCCTGCACGATTATTACAAAGAAAGAAGACAGTAGCATTCGGAAGGACTGTGAACGTGTCACAAACAATAGAGGTTTTTTTAAAAGTTTCAGATTTTCAGTTTCTCAGAAATATTTATCACTATTTTATTTCTCATTGGTTTTGAAATAGCTAGCAACAGTAGTAATGAAACGATTGTTGATCAGTCTTGTATTTGCAATAATATGTGAGTCATATTTTGAGTACTGATAATGGTGAATACGTATTTCTTATTGCAGCAGTTGTTCGATATAACATCAAAAATGCCTCTAATTTAAGGGTACATCAAAAACACATCGAAAGTTTTTGGTTGACTCAAACCCTCAGAAAAAGATATTTCCTAAAATGGCTATGGATAGTCGAAGTGAGCGACTTTTGGATGAGGTAATGATCACACTTTTTCAATTCGTCGATACATAATTAGCTTCAAGCTTCAAGCTAATTAGTTTCAAGCGGAGGTCGGCACGAATACTGTTTGCAGAAATAATGATCCATAATTCTTGATGTTAAATGTAACCTTATTGCAATGTACTAGCTGAAATAATGTAAGACTGGCTTGGATGCATAAATCGAATGTGACTGTATGAACGTCAAACCAAAATTCATAAAGCATAGAACAAAACCGTGAGACGAAATTTTAATAAATCTTGTAGTTTGAAAAGTTAAAAGAAAAAGTGCGCGAAATGCAATCAAAAATCGATGAACTGACAGTGAGAGATTCAGAAAGAAGTGGTCAATTCTTGAAATTAACAGAAGCGATGAAGGTGTTCTTTAAGTTGTTACACCGTTTTTATATTGCAGCCGGATTGATACAATCTGCTTCCTTATCAATTCTGAGAGCGTTTCTTCAGCTTTTGATAGTAGGGAACATTCCTTTAGCACTTTGTTATATCTTTTTCCATTAATGTTATACCTTTTCATTGTTATACCTCTTTCATTAATACCGTTCTTTGCAATCCATTAGTCAAAGTTTACTTTATAGAAAATGCTGGATGGTTCGGCACAATTTAACAATTTGTCCAGTAATAGTAACGAGAATTCCAAAAGATGTGGAAAAAGATTTGAAACAGAAATGCGTTGTCATGGCAAAGAAAATATACCCCCTGACGTGCGTCTTTCTAGATTTCAGTTTTTTTTAAATTTTTAAAAGAAATCTTCTTTTATTTCCGGTTCCCTTTACCAACTCTTTCTGCCATAATGTAGCGGTGTCGATAATAAGGTTAAAATGGCTTAAATTTTTTACCAAGAATTTCGTATGGTAAAAGCTAGAAATTTCTTATCAAACATAAATAATCCGGTAAAGTTTCCATTGTTTAGGAGATATCTGTAGCAGGACATATCACTGAAGGTGCAGCACATGGAGAACTTTTTGCGGAATCGGTGAATGTCCGTTTTTTTTCAATGAAGAGCAGCTTCATTTTTAAGTGTTTAACATTTATTTTCAAGTCATTTTATACAAATTTCCTTTGATAACATTGATTACGAATTAGTGAAGACGCTATAATTTGAGTCACAAGATCCCATTTCCCACTGACACAAAATTCTATTCCTCATGTTATTTTCGGAAGGTTGATGGAACCAGGTATTCAGCAAAATAGCTAAAAAATTGTGACTTCAAAATCTTTTCTTCATATTTTTCCTTGAAACGCTTAAGTCTGACAATGTAAAGTGTTAATGCAGAGGAAAAAAACTATTGGCGGTCCATCCGAGGAAGATCCTAAATGGACAATAATGAAACGAAAATATGCTGAAAACGAAGAATTCAAACGTTTGGTTGATGAAGCTATCATGAAATGCGGAGGAGACGAAAGTCTGGACATTTTCGCATCTCACCAAAACAAAGGAGATATTGGAAGGTTTAGTTCTGCTTATTATGCTTATTAGGATTCGAATTTTGTAATAAATGAGCTTCTTTAATGCATATATATACTAGACAAAATTATGCAGCAGATTATCTTGAAATTACTTGCTTCCAAAACATCCATTCTAGCAGCTGAGCTGGATTCACGCACTATCTAGGATTCCAACAGTCTATAACAATAAAGAAAATGAAATGATAACAGCTGTGAGCAGTTATTAATATTTTTCTCTCTGATATTTGAGAGTTCCATCGCGACGGCATGAGAAACCACAGCCTATTTCACCTGTGATTAGAAGTACCACACGAGTTACGAAACAGATGACGGTTGAACAAATTCAGCGCTGTGAAAATTCGCCTGCGTCATGTGCTTTTTCTTATGATTCCAAGAAGTATTTGGCAAGGCATGGCATTATTCCTGGTGAATATACTTCAATTTTTTTTTTGTCAAGGATTTTTCAAATATCTTGCAATCACTAGATCGTACGACCACTTACCCTTTCTGATATAACTGTTTTGGAAAATTTTATAATTTCAACTCTGTGGCTGCAAAATAAATTATTAATGAAGAGTAAGGACATTTACCAGTTCTACAAAGGAAATATGTATTCTTTGATGTTATGCTTCTTTTATTTCACTGAACCAAATCCATTTTTATGGCACAGTTTTTGAAGGAGTTGTTGATTCGGTAGAATGGTTTCCCATCAGGATTAAACTTTCCAGCGCTTAGTGACGATGATGAGGTAGAGCACAATATGGAGTGCGGTAAACGATTAAATCCATCCATGCAGTCCTTTTATTATCCGGGAGATTCGGTGACTTACTATTCCAAAAATATCAAGTGTAGCAACATGCCTTTAAAAGATAACTCTAAGAATGATTATCGAGAGAAAAGATGTCATCATAAGGAGGAAAGAACACCACGATTTTTTGATGAAGCAAATTACCAGGTTTCTTTATTTTTAATTTTTAGTTTTGTTTTTGTATTGAATCAAATTTTTAATAATATCATTTTAATATTTTACCTCAGACCATCAACATTTGGTTTTATTTATGTAGAATAGTTTTCCGATTGTTCGATTTATAGTTGCGTCATCAATTGCTGTGTAACTTGACAGTTTTTTCCCTGGACGAAAAGACTTATTAATTATGAAATATGTTAAATTATTAATTTTTTCTCCGACTTTTTCTCTGATAACTGGTAAATCAAAATTTATATTTCCGTCTTCTTTAATTATAAAATTGGAAAAGAATTGATTTTCGGAAGTTTGTAGGAATTATTTCATATTTCTATTCATTTTTTTTTCATATGCACATTTTTTGTTCTTTTTCTAGTATTGACGTTAAAACTAACGTTTGCCTTTCAGATGGATCAGTTTGACAGCGATGATGATGAGGATGTGAATGATATGATTGAAATAAGTGATGGATTGGGAGTTGAGGATCACTGTGGAACCGGCATAATGATGCGTTTACCCCATGACAAGAAAGGATGGAGAGGTCTGTTCCACAAATCTTTAACCAAATTATATAATAAATAAAATCTTGGGGATTTTCCAACTTCGCTTTCCCATACATAGTTCATTATGGGCAATGTTAGCTACACTTTATGTAATAGATTTGAAATAGTAAGCCTGATTTCTTTCATTTCATATGCATAATTTTGTTTTCGACGTCATTTATTTAATTTAAAAAAAAAAAATCTCGCTACAATGTTTGGGGTATAACGGCTGACGTCATTTTAGCATTTCTTTTCTCAGGCTCGGCACACAGCGGTTTTCGGCATCAGAAGAACGATGGCATGTGTCAATATACGAAGCAGCGACTGAATAAGTCCGCTTGGGATTAATTTCAACTTTTTTTTTCTAAAGATTTATCTCAAAGACTTTTTCATTATATCGTTGCTCTAACAGATGTTCGGGAATAATTCTACAATCTCTTATTCTGCTTCATCATATCATTATTCGTGAGCTACAGAAGAGAGTTGAAATAAGTTTTTAGGCTTATTGCAATATTAATGTAATCATTTTTTAGCGTTAACTTTTGCACTCACTGTTTTCGTAAAATTTGAGTTAAATTCATGATATCTGTTTTGTTCAAATCTTCAAACATCTAAAATAATGTTGGTACTAGCAATGTCTTTTGATTTCCTTTTCCAAAATGGTTCCAAAAACTTACTAATGGAAGCATTGGATTTTCTTGATGTTCAGCTGAAAATCAAGAGCTTGGTGTCATTTAGTGCTTGTATCCGTCTCACTTATTTTTTATATGCCTTCGGTGTTGGTGTGTGTGTTATTTTGAATCCAATGGCGCTCTTGTCATTTAGAAGTACAAATAAAAAGTGGAAGATTTTCTTTATTCCTTTGAGTTTTTATTCATTCATTTGACATTAGCTTCCAGAAATCCACGTCCTGCATATCACAGCATTTGGACAGTTGTTTTGCTTGATTTTCAGATGAAGTAAACGCTTTGGTTTTATCACAATACATCACTGATTTGTAAGTTCAAGTAGATCAAGTCAGGGAAAGATTCTGTAGTTTATTTTTTGTTGTAACTCCGCAGCGTTGATAGTAATCTTTATTGTCTTAAACGATGGCATAATATCACACTGAAACAGTAATGGGGACGATTTGAATAATACAAGCAAAAGGTTTGTCGCTTGTGCTGTTGAACTGTTATATTGTTGATTCTCTGCCGATAAACTGTTGCCGAATTGAGTGTCCGGTTGTTTGTCGTCTTGAATGCTTGTGCGAACTGACCGATTGAGTGACTGAGCGAGCTGTCAGACTGAGTGACTACTCGAGCTTTTTGATTTGATAACTGACCCCAGGATGACTGATCCTAGCTCCTTTTATAGTGGAAGTGATTTAACATATCAGACACATTGGCTTAGCTGCCAGGCTAGAGGTTCTTTACAGAATTTGACATTTGCATGTAAGCTTGATTAATAAATTGGAAGAAGTTTAGAACAAAGGACTTTGTTTGTGATATCTAAGCATCGTAAAAATTTGTTAAAAAATTGGAAAAGTTGGATTTGAATAAATGATCCATCACTTTAGGTATCGAAATATTTATTTTATTAATTTTGTGTAACAAATCATTTATACTGAGAAATATTCTGAATCTTAATTAGAACAGCTCATAATTTTTTCAGCTTCGCTTGCTCGGCTTGCAAATTTTCTGTGGCTACTGTTACAAAACGGTATCCAAAAGATTGCGCTTTATCACCATTATTCTGTTTTTTTGTTTTTGTTTTTTCTTTTTTCACCGCACTGCTGTTGTAAATAGAATAACAAGCAGGTGAAATAGATCTGCGCGAAGAATTCTGGTAGTTTTACAGGGTCAATATTGTAGTAATTTTGACCCTGACCACTCTCATATCCTTCACTTTAAAAAGCTTATTTTATCAAATCTCTAAATTCACTATTTCTTTATTTTTCTGAAGCATACTGATTTCAATTTGTCTTTTATAAAGTTTAATTCGTATAATTTTCCAATAAAATAACACGAAAGATGTGCAATTTTGAATTTGAATTTTATACCGCCTGGTGAAAATTGGTTCACTGACATAAAAATAATAAGATCAAGAATGGCAGTTTATGAGATGAAAGTAAAGTACAAGTAGCATAATGACAAAGGGTTGCAACATGATGCAGCAATAGAATGGTGTTTGAAAGAGCAACGAATTCTCGGAATGATTTTAGCGAGATTGAACACATTAACTCAGATGAGAACCGCAAATTTTGAATACTTGCAAATAATAAATGATGACTTGTACTCCCAAACATTTCAGTTCTGATTAATGATGACTTTTAGTGTGGTTAGGAAGTGAAGTAGTAAATTAACGTTGTTTTATCGCTAAGCGGAGCAAAGTTTAAGTTTTTTTTTTAAATTCAATTGAATGATGGTTGGAAGTATTAAAATCCGATAATAATGAACCAGCATAACATGACAGTACTAAAAAATACCCTTACAAAAATGATTGCAAAGTGTTCGAAACAAAGTAATAGCAAAACGTGATTTGAAACCGGAAGAGGAATTTGAAAGTTGTATGGTTTGATCTAATTCTGAGCAGGAATTGACCTCAAGCAATGGAAACTGGTTGTAAAGCTAGCTAATCACCTTCTGACGAAATAACACCGTTTATATAAAAACCTTCATGTTGAACGATTATTTCTTGAAAAGGAAATTTCGTTTTTTTTTTTTTTGTAGTTCGACATGTTAGCTAATATGATCAATTATGTACAAATCTAAACAAACAAAAAAGACAAGATTCAGTTATAAATGATCTAGTGAGCGATATACTCTTGGAGCTTTTCATATAACACCATTATACCGGATCTCAGAAATCGAAATTCAACGACTGTTTTTGCGTCCGGTTGGTGTGCGTGGATTAGCAAGCATCGGTATTGTAGAACATTCAGGATGAAACTTTTCGGGAGATCGTGCAGAAGAGAATTCTGAAGCAGTTGGTGATTCCGGCATTTGTGGAACTGAGTATGTCCGGCGAAAGTCATTTTTTCTTATCACTGCTGTTTGGAACATTCCGGTTTCGAAACCAACCCCATTCCGTATGCTGCGCGTGTGGTATATTTTGAGCGCATATGAATGCTTCTTATCTCGCATAGAAACATAACCTGTTGGCTCACATAAATCCTGTACAATAATTAGACATAAGATTTTAGAAGATTCAAAGGTCAAAAGTTAATGATTCAGAATGTCAATCAATTTAAGGGTAAAAACAAGTGGTATAATGTATCTCACCTTGAAACAGTCGTCATCAGTACTGTAAAAAGAATTATAGCCTCCTTGTAAAACGTAAATTTCATTGTAATAAAGAAATGGATAGTTGGCATAATTCCGGACGCGGTCACTTTTCCGTAAATGTGATGCGCTATAAGCAGTGATTTTCTTTTTTTTTTAAAAAAAAAGGAATAGATAGTGGTTTGCAAAACGTTGCTCGATATTTGGATAGCATTGAGCAGTGAACTTGGGCCAATATTTATTTTCCTTTTTACATTTCTAAGTTAGAGACTTCTCTCATAACTGTCTGATTGAACCTTTCTCATCCAAAATTTTGTCTTGAAGTTAATTAACGCAGCTAATATGAGAATTAATACAAGCAATTATTACAGCTGACTTTCATTTGGAAGTATAGCTAAGTTTAAATGACGAGTATGAGAAGGGGTAGCTGCTAACAATGAATTCAAGACACCAGTATTAGGAATTAATCCGAAAATTTGGAGATGAGTGTGAAGGAATTGAATTAACTTTTCCCATTCGATATAGTTGTTGTATAAGTTTTGTCTTAAACAAATAAAAAGTGTACAAAAATTTAATTAAACAAACAAACAAATATGGTAATAACTTACAGCATTGGCCCTCGAGCACTTGAATATTCGCAGTAAAATATCGGAATTTTTTAAGCATAATTTTAAATGCAGCTGAACATTTAGGGAAGAATGTGTTTTCCAGTTCCACAGGATCATAAATGTTTAATGCTCCCTGAAACAAAAATGAATACTTATTTAAATTTATTTAAAATAAATATAACAAATAAATATGAAAATAAATATAACATAATAATAAATTTATTTAAAATAAATATAACATCAATTTGTGGACATCTGCAAGACAGTGTATATGTACTATCTAATGGGTGACACTTTAAAAAGGTGCATCTTCTTGGATTTAATTAAGTCACGCGTTACATCCTATATACTCTAAAATTATATATTTGCGGTGTTATTTTTTACTTTTGGAAAATAACTTTCTGGTATTTCTCCGAGCACATATTTCTTTATAATAAATGAGTTACCTACCTTAATGTGTCCACCTTCATATTCGTATGGATATCGACAATCGATAAGAGCGTATTTCTCAATAAATTCCTGAGGTTTCATTGATTTTAACAGCTGTTTCAAGACAACTTTTTCAATGCATGCAAAACCTGCTGTGAGAATGCCTGGCTTTTGCACAGTTACTAATGAATATTTCTGTAAATAGCAATTGTTTTAAAATAATTATGAGATTTCTGAAATAAATTGAAAATTTGTTATTTTATGTCATTATCATTGTCGTTGTTAATTTATTGTTTAGCAGAGATTTTATCAGATTGTTAAGTACTTCCGAGGAGTGAGAAAATGTGAAGGAAATAAAACTGAACTATAACATGGGGAAATCAAAATCTTGTTAATAGGAATAGGTGTAACGTTCCAATGTCCATATCTATCGTAGCAGTAATAGGGTCAAGTATTAAGGACAAAATTTTCTGTTATTCAAAATATTGGATTTTCAAACTTTAATTTGCGAACTTTATCAGTTTTCCGGAAGTAAGGGATATTTACCTAACCCATCCCTCAGATGCACAGAATTTTTCTGTTCAAAATGATTATTTTTTAATTTTTCAGCTATCACAATTTCAGACTTTTGATCTGTCATTTAGAATTAAAGGTTTTTTTTTGAAGAACAGAAATAAGCCAGAAAACGACCAATTTAATAAACTGTAAACTTGATTTTGATGGGATTTTTCTTTTTTGAATAGATCGAAACATTTCCAATTTTATGTTTCATTTCAAACAGAATAACTTCGTTTGAATAAATTTTAGAACGAAATTTTGAATTGAAAATCTATTCGAAGAAAGCTTTCCAAGTCTGCAAGTGTAATTATTCATTTCAATATATGAAACACAATAACTTACAGATTCACAAAAATAATCCATCTTCTCGTCTGCCCTCTCCGCTCCATTTTCCTTACTTTGCTCTTTTTTACTATTTTCAGCTTCTCTTTCCAGTTGTTTCTTTTCACCCTTAAATTTAAAAAAAATTTCTTTTTTATAAATAAATGATGAAAATGAAACGTTATTGTTGGTGAGACCTGGCAAGTTCCATATTCACAGAATAGAATATATTCTGGAGATGGGATGAAAGAGAGATGACAGAACCGAAGGTTAAACAAGGTCATCTAGCAGGAGTAGAAGAGAAGTTTGCAAGATTGATACCATCGAATGACTTTATACTTGCAGGTAAATCTTGAGAAACCTCAAACTATAAGCATAAGGTAACTTCCAGGGCTTACGCTTCAAGCAATTTTTGCTAAGTTATTATTTTGGTAAATTATTTAAATTACTTCTTTCCGCCGTTTAATTAGTGGTTGTTGCACATCTTCACGTACATCCTGCTGCGCTACACTGAAACGCTTCCCGAGTGTTTGATTGAAGCGGATTTGTAATTCATTCATTTCGATATCACTATCATTTTGCTTGGGACATAATGAATCATCCGTCATTTCATCCTCTATGTCAATTTCGGAAGTTGACCGAGGATAGTA